GGACATCATTCGAGCCCACCTGCAGTATCTGGATCACTGTATATCAACCCTTCCATCACCACAGTCTTAGAGTCCACATCTACACTGCAATATCAGCCCATAAATATATATGATCTTATATTTAAATGAGGATTCCCATGTTAATGGTTCCTAGTTCCTTTTGAAGGTTTCAAATGTACAGTGGTCAAAAACTTTTCTAACACATTGCAGGGTGAGTTTTTTTCTTTGTGTCTGAAATGGTTCATTTAAAGATCTGCTCTCTAAACTCCGCCTTTCTGAGAGTCTCCTTTGCTCTGATTGGTCAGATGGTGCAGCCTCTTGTGATTGGTCTACTGCTTAGAGTGTGTATCAATTACCAAATACTCATTACCATATTCGATCATCAGCTTTTGTTGTTGTTCAAATTCCTTTACCATTGACGACTCAATATTATATATTAGAACACAACTGGAACATCAGCACTCATTTAACAGGGTCTTATTGCTTATTTATATAGTATCCAGAAAAAAATATATATAAAATTGGGTGCTGGAAGACGGGAATTACTGAAATCAAGCAGTTCAGAATAATTTCTTTCTTTCACTTTGATCTTTGCAGACCTTTCACCATCACAAACAGCATTACCTGCAGTATACTACTACATGAAGGGTAATAACTGAATAAGCATAGAGGCACTTTAAAGCAATCTACTGTAAAAACGCATTGTATATGTGACTAGGTGCCTGTATTTTATGATGGACACCCCCAACATTTCCGCAGTTCATCAGACTAAATCAGAGATTTTTTTCTTTCTTTTATATAGAAAAGTAAGGAAAGTGTATTTTTGATATGGTGCTGGCGAAATATGACTTTTGCTCTTTATTAGCTGGTGTTCTGTTTGTGCATGCATCTCTCGCAGTGTAAGATGTGTACAGGAGCAGCTCACTGGATTAAGCTTGTGCTCTTATTTGCAATTGTCAGTAAAAGTAGAGGAAAACTTGCAGATAGTTTCATCTCTTGACCGCCATAAGCGTTTCGTGTATCCTAAATGTAAGGCTTGTGTTTGTTTTTGCACTAAATGTTGATCTTAAAACCTGCCAGACTGAATAATGTACATGCTAAAATCACTGTGTCGTAAACAATGAAAACAATTAATATTCTGACTGAAATATTGTTATTAAGAATATTAAGGTGCCATAAAACTCATGATGAAAGTGCATGCATAGTTTGCATTTTATGCTCTTATTTCATATATATTATTTTACATTAGGTGATGTTTCTCCTTATTGTCAGTTTTAATAAAGATGAGGAATTACTTGATGCAAGTTTTCTTTTCTTGCTGCCTTCTTTATATCTGGCATATTTGGGGTATGACAGAATTTGCCACACAGAAACCTAATCAAATTTGCTGATCATTTACCATCCAAATATGATGTCTGTTTGATGAGGTTGTGGATTAATGCTAATAATGTTTCATTTTCAGTTTTTTTGTACAGACCGATCATGTTTTGTAAAAACCTAAATGTATCGTCAGGAGCCGCAGGTATTCATTTGCAAACCAATATACATATTCACTACCTGACAAAAGTCTTGTCGCCTGTCTGAGTTTTAGGAAAAACAAATAATAACTTGACTTCTAGTTATATGAAAGGCAAATGCCTCTAGATTACGCTAATTTTACCAAAATAAAATATGATCATGACTTAATTTTTAATTAATTAGGACAGTAATGTTATGGGCTGCACAAATGTCTTGATACCTCTGGTTATTGATGTTGCCATCCACTCTGCAGACCTCTTACACACCCCATATTAAATGTAACCCCAAACCATGATTTTTCCTTCACCAAACTTGACTGATTCCTTTGACAATCTTGGGTCCATGCCAATGACTGTAAAAAATATGGACGACGCGACAGCCCCTTTTCCCATTGAACGCTTTGAGGGCAAAACGCCTGCTTGACGGGCACAAACTGTCGCAAAAGACTGCTGAAATTGGAGCCTTGACATGCACAGAAGGACTGTCTGATGGAGCCTGAGGAGGAGCCGCGAAAATGAGCTGAGTCGAGCTTCCAACCAAACGCTTTATGTAAAATCAACTACGCCCCCTGAACTTCTCAGCATGCGTTTGCTGTCTTATCAACACAAATGGATGTAATAACGTTAACAAATATGAGGGTTTTATATATTCAATCGCGCCAGCTCCGGGCCGCTGCGCATAACCTACTCGCGGCGTCGCGGGCTGATTCCGGCTCGCATGCGGCAGCGCCGGCTCGCTCGGCCGCCGCATCTGGCTCGATTGACTCAGGCTGGAATCGGGCAGTGAGTCCAGGCATCCGGAGTAGGTCCAGCAGAGGTAGTCAGTCTGAGCTCTGAGGGGTAAGTCTTCGGCTGGAATCTAGCACGAACTGGCCCATGTGTATTTTGCTATCTGGGTGGCTAGGCGTACATCAGCAAACTAATAAAGCCCGAAAAAAGCCCTGACCTTAGCGAATAAACAGTGTTCCACCAGGATCATGTATGTCAGAAACTGTAGTTTACTACTGAACTCATTTTGTCATGGTAAAATAACACAGAAATCGAATAACAACACTTCAGTCTTCTGCCGAAGCCCAGACGCGCTGCTATGAGAAACTGTCAATCACAGCTGTCAATCACGACACGCCCAGCATTAAATTACTGCTAAAAACAAACTGTTTACAAAAATGAAGATCTGCACCTATTTCAGCACAATAACCAATGCCTAATTCGACCAGAACCATCTTTCGGGACAGTTTATTGCAAGTGTAATTAATTTTTTTATTTGGGCTCAAGTCTCCTTCATTTACACGGAGGAGGCGGGCTTTATGACTTGTACTGCAGCCAGCCCCCAGGGGGCGATCTAACGGCCGAGACCTTCACTCAAACGCAGGCTTGCGGCACACTTGGGTCCATGCGGATTCCAATAGGTCTTCTGCAGTATTTGTGATGACTGGGATGCAGTACAACAGATGATTCATCTGAACACTTTACCTTCTGCCACTTTCCAAATGATCAACTAGAAGTCAGGTTATTATTTGTTGCTCTTACAACTGGGTTTGACGACAATACTTTAGTCAGTTAGTGTATAAAAGTGCTGATATTGACTGGCATTTTTACGACTACATTTTATAGGGTGACTAAATGAACAGCATATTGTCATTTTTGGGAACACCATCCATTCAGAGTTTGCTTTAACTAATGGAGTGGGAAGTAATTTATTGGTGCATTCAACCACAAAACAGAGTACATTAACACTGACAAAACATCAGGGGATTAATTAAACGAATAATATAATCAAAACAGACACATTCATCACAAGATGACACTACTGTTGTTTTGGAACAATTGTTTTAATATACATTATTAAATATCAACCAACGCTTTATGTATATCAGCAAACAACCTCTTGAACTTCATTATGGTTTCATGATGATTAAAGAATAAAAATCAGGATGTTTACAAAGCCAAACATGGATTGCATAGATTTTTTTTAAAGCACCAACTTCAATTTCCTACAATAAACAAATGATCAAATGCAACCGATTATAAAATCACACACACTATTAAGTAATAACGCTAATAAGTTCATATATGATGACAATTTATTTACAGCAGTAAAAAAAAAGACAGCAAAATACATAGAAAGTGTCCCAAATCCTTCCATGGAAATTTTGTAAATGCATAAGCAGTCAAATCAGAACAAACATCAATTATTAAACCACCGACAGATTCAAAATAATAAATCAAAATGAGCAGAACACCACTATTTAAACTAAGATTTTTGCTACTGCTATTATTGTATATATATTAAATTATATGAATTTTATTTCACTTTTAGGAGAATAAAGAGAATAGAAAGCATCTGTAATGTAGAGAGAAAATACATGTTTAAAAAATAGCTGACAGAGCCACAGGTGTTTAATGATATCAGAGCATGATGAAGACGTGTGAATTTTAATGTGTTAAAAAGGGCAGAATGGCAGTATATTTTACATACAGTATAATTCTAGCTGCTAGAGACTGATTGGGACTCGTGGGAAAAGGATTATGTTTTATTTCTGAGAGGTAAAATGTAATATTCTGGAGTGCACAGAGTTCACAAAGCCAAGAAATGGCAAAACTGAAAGAAATAATGGAGACAGTTTAGTTTATTCTAACATCTGTTCAACAGAATATGACATTTGCTGTAGCAAAGTGAATGTGATGATTGTTTGCCCAAAGTTTACTCAACTTAATGGTTTTAACATTGGTCAAACTTGATTTGCTCTGATCTGACAGGGTCTGAATGAATCATGGTGAATTGAATTATGCAAAAAAAAAAAGAAAAAAAGATCAAAAACAGATCATGTCTCTCCATTATTATTTGGAGTTGCATATCTATAAAATAACTGTTTACATTAGATAACTAGTGTTACATTACATTGCTGAATATAGCCAAATGGTGAAATAGCTGTGCTCTAAACATAAATAATATGGTATTAATACTACTAAATATGCAAGTTTTGAAGCAGGTGTGCAGGAACAGACTGTATTAGATCAAAAAAAAAAAAAAGAAAAAAAAGTGTTTTGAGGCCTTATTCAAATGTTTAAATATTACCTGATTCACAGTAGTTTCTGTATGATTGCTTAAGTAAGTGTCCTATGACCACAGTAGTGCTTCTCTCACTAGTTAACCCTGGGTCATTTAACTCCCATTAAACTGAATCCTGAAATATTTGTTTCAGAATGCTGGTAATTTACCATGATTTATAATTAATTCAATTCAACTTTCAATTCACCTTTGTTTGTATACCGCTTTTACAATGTATATTGTGTTAAAGCAGCTTCAAATAGAAGATTGAAACTGTCAGTTCAGTTTTCAAAGTTTAAGTTCAGTTCAGTTTAGCTCAGTTCAGTGTGGTTAATATTCACTACTGAGAGTCCAAACTCTGAAGAGCAAATCCATTGATGCGCAGCTCTACAGATCCTGAACCATGCAAGCCAGTGGCGACAGCGGCAAGGAAAAAACTTCACCAATTGGCAAAAGTGAAGAATCAAAAAATTTCGAGAGAAACCAGGCTCAGTTGGGCATGACCATTTCTCCTATGACCAAAGGTCTTGTGCAGAGCTCCAGTCTATAATTAATACTGTGTATTCATACACTGAGGCTTCACACTACAATCTTAAAACCTGGGTTAATGTTTTTATTATTGCGTATTTGTTATGTGAGTCTTTGACTTGACTGTTAACGTACTGCTGATTGAATTTAATTTTCAGCCTATAAACATGGAAAAAAAAATCACTTTATACACTATCGCTCCATCTTAAACATTGTTTAACACTGTTTTCAATGTTTCACTATCTTTCTCTTTAAAAACAAAGAGTCAGTGTATATTTGTTTATTTCAAACTAAACTTACTTAGATTTATGTCATGATGTACAGTAAAAACATGTGAATTTAACTTTAGTTTAAGGCTATAGGGGTGATTTTGGACACAGCTATAGTCCTGCCAATTTGCACTCCAACAAACAGGCAAATCAAGGTTCATTCAGGAATAAATATTTTCGGTGAATACTTATTTGTAAAAAAGTTTGGAAACAGACAATTCACACACAAATGTGAATGCTTAGTGAAGTTTAAACGCGGGGTTTAAAGTGATGATAACCCAGGGTTAAGTGTGCTCTAAAAATCCTGACACGTATCTAAAAATAGGGTTCCAAATTGAAGTCCTGGACAACAGTAGAGTCTGTAAATGCTCATATTAAGGTCTTTAACACTTACAGTTCATCCTCTGATGTTTAAACACTCACCAGAGAGCTTTGCCGTGGCTTTGCTTAGTGTAAAGCGTTCGACTGAGAGGACCAAAGTGATCTGGCATTAAAATAATGGCTGTGGGAGTCTTGAAGAATGCTGTGCTGAATGTTTTGTGTGCATTTCTGTGAACATTTGGTCTTCTTTTCAAGTACGTATTTTAATAACCCAAGTATCTACAATATAGCACCAATGTGTTGAAAAGATTTACACTTTTTACATTATATTCAATTACACAAATGCTTGAGTATAATTTATAGAACATGCAGTTTCATACATGTTGTTTCATCATGTAACTACCCTGAATTTACAGTATTATAATGTAAGATCCAGAGTTTTACTGTGTTTCTGAATCATGCTCATCTGTGCTGCTGTTTTGTGGTGCTGTTTGCTGTTTTCAGTGGCAGTGCTGTGAATGAGTCCATCACTGAGGCATTAGCTGCACATTACAGTATGTGTTGTGTGTTCAGGACTCTTTCTGACAGGCTGGTGAAAGTGTATGTGTGTGTGCGCGTGCGTGTGTGTTCAGTCTGAGTCGTCACTGCTGAAGGACAGGAGATCTTCTGCTGGACTCACAGCTGCATCTTCAGACAGGGTTCTGCTGCGGGACGTGGCCAATCTGATGAAGAGAACATTAAGAGTAATGAGAATTTTGTATTGATTTATGTTGTTTCATTCTGTTTAATTTGTAATTTATTTATTTTATATTTTAAAAACTAGTTTAAATGTGAAAGATGTACATGCAAATCTTTAAATAAACATGATTTTGTCAGGGTTCCCACTGTCAAAGAAATTCTGGAAATATCAAGGAATTCTTTTTTTTTCCCAGACATGGAAGGTCATACAAATTTTTATTAATTTTATCGAATTTTTAAAGTAAAATAACTCATTGGCTAATTCTCGATATGCGTTCTTCAGCGATCTTGTGTCCTCATGTTTTTAAGTATCGTCATTATCAACCATCAAAGTTTAGTTCCGAAACTCAAGAACGAAGAACGGAGGGTGCGTGAAAGCTCCCGGGTGTGTTCTTGATATCGAGGATGCAGACTTAAGCGCAAAACTCACTCAAGTTAAGTCATTGTGGCTGAATAATAGATGTGGGATGCGCAGTGTTCTCTACCTGTTTATTATTAAAGTTGAGAGATATACCTTGTTTATCTCATGAGTGAATGCATAAAAATTGTGCAAAGTATATTGGTAATGTTTCTGTGTATGTTATGCAGAAAAGGAGAAAACAAATCATTTTCTGTTAAAAATAGGCAAAGGCCATTATGTGACCATCAGAAAGAACTTAGAATGCATTTCATTTCTCAGACGCATTCTGTGTTCTCGCTGTCTCCTGAGTTCATTCTTCTGAGGTAACTTGACAAGAACACTGTCCACAAGAATGCAAGTCCATTCTCTACATTCTTGGAATTGATAAACAGCCATTGACTACATTGATTTGATATAAGATTCTCAGCTATCTATGCTCATAAAGCTTAGTACAGTAAAAACATTCATATTGTGAAATATTATTACAGTTTGAAACAACTTTTATATATTTTAAAAAAGGTAGTTCATTGCTATGAAAGCAAAGCTTAATTTTCAGAAATCAACAGTCTAGTGGTCAGTGTCACACGATCCTCGAAATCATTCTAATATTATGATTTAGAGAAGAGGAGAAACATTTATTATTATCCTCTTACCAATGTTAAAAACTCTTCTGCTTAACAGTTTTGTAAAAACAAACAAATAAAAAATTCAAGAGTATTTAGAATGGAAAGCTTCTAAAAATCTATTTAATTATCTGTCACTTTTGAAATGAATGCCTCTTCGGGATTCAATACTTTTTTTGAATCAGTTCTACATCTAAGCCTTTAATTATTATTTTGTACAGGATTGAAGTATTTTTAGATACATACATTTCAAATCATTATAACTTCTATAGGTAATGCACTGATTCAAATGAATAGAGTGACTCTGCAGTTAATCAGTGTCTCGAATAGATGTCCCGATGATTCAAATGATTCAGTCAGAGTAAGGCTGCGTCCGAAATCACACACTACTCAGTAGCTATTGAATTTGAATCTACTACTCAACCATTAAAAAAGTACTGTACATTATATACTGTATGAATGTGAGTAGTATGAATGTACTACATCTGCCATTTCGAAATCATCACGTAACCTACCCGTGTCAGTTACATTGCATCACTACCGTCCATGAATTCTCTCGCAGTGCATTAATGGTAGCATGGGATAGCATAGCATGCATCGGATGCACTATAAGAATCTCTCTGGAAGTAGTAAGTCATCCGGATACTTCTGGAGCACTGATTTTCAAATTCTATGCATTCTGACATACTACTTGGCTTGCATATTGTTTTTAGCATACTACATAGTATGGAAGCATGCCATTTTGGACGCAGCCCAAGTCTCCAATTAACATCTCCAGTGATTCAACTGATGCACTGTGAGTCTCCAGCTAAATCTGTGTAAAGTTGCTGCAAACTTATATTACAGTATGACAACTGAAACAGAATATTTGGGCAAGGTTTTATTTTTTGGCACTCCTCTCATATTTGTCTTGCAGCAAACTAATGATTTGAGGGGGGCTCTAAGCCTACACTGAAAAAAATATTCATTGGATTTACTTTTTTTTTAGCTAACTGTTTGCAAACAATTTATATGGGCTGAATTTAAACAAATTAAATTTAGTAATGTTTTCATTTTAACCTAAATATTATTTTTTTTATTAACTTATTAACCTAATTAGGTTGTTTAATTTTAGCTCATATAAATTGTTTGCAACCAGTTAGCTTAAAAAAAAAGTTAATCCAATGAACATTTGTTTGTGTACTTCACCCAAGCTCTTAAAATAATGTCATCAGTGAAGGACTGCCATTCCAGAGTGGATGCCTATGGTTAGTTCTTAATTAAAGGTTACCAAAACAAACAGTTAATTAATTTGCACAGATTCATTGTTCACTTTAAGACTATCAAATAAGCACTAGCAGAATGAAGATTGTACATTTTCATTTCATGCAGTCTTTAGCAACTGATTGCTGTATTGTATGACGATCAACCAGCATTTTTACTTTTAAACATAAACACATCATGTTGAACTTTGACTACTTAATACTTTTACCAGAGTAATATTTTATTAGGCCATCTGAGTGCTTGTATACATCATTTACCGTGCGCTGTTTCAACACTAACAAAAAGGTGTGGGAACCCTGTTGTGCTGTATGCTATTATGCTAAAATGAAACATTAATATTGTCATGAAGGAAGCTCAGTGTGATGCAGGTAGCGAAATGATAGACGAGTGTTTCTGACTGAGGTTTAGCGATGACTGATGATCATCATTTGAAGCGGGCGGTGTGTTTGGTTTCTCTCACCTCACTTACCTGCGTCCATCTCCTCCACCTCCATACTGCTGCGTGAGAGGCAGGTGAGAGAGAGCAAGCTGAAAACAAGCTATGATTAAATCCTTCCCAGCATCCTACTATTCAATCTTTACCAGCCTTTGTCGGCGAGTCCAGATCTACATCCATTATTATGGGTTTTATTGTGTTTTTTATCTACATGCTCAGTGAAAGAAAAGAGCTGACTATTTGGATCCGCCTCATCAGATTCACTTAGGAGAATCATGGTTCTTTTTGGCCCATTACGTTACTTATAATAATGGATTTCATTGGCAAGCTCTTTCTGGCCCGCTGCGTATGTGCCAGTGATGAAGAATCACAGTAAAATGCTGGCATCACATCCTGTTACAACTTTATGGAGGCAGAGTAAGCAATCATTCTAAAGCCTTGTAGTATGCATAAAGTTAAAAACATTGAAAGTTAAACAGTCTTATTAGAAAGCACATTCAGCTAATTGACATTGAGTATTTAAAACTATTAACCAGTTCTGAGTTTAAGTTGATATATAAACAGGCCCGTAGCCAGCCTGGTAAAAGGGACGGTTATGTTTTCTTAAAATATGGACCTTTTTGCAGTTATTGGCCTTGTTTTTTTATGAAATTATTATGTTAAATAGTTTTTAAGCACTATTTTCTGCTGGATTAGCTGGTCAGATGGTCATCAACCACACATTTTGATGTACCAACATTTTTTTTTAAAGATGTAGAAGAAAAAAAATTGGAGAATATTACTTGAAGAGGTCAGATGCCGGGGCGACACAGTGGAGCAGTAGGTAATGCTGTCACCACACTGCAAGATGGTCACTGGTTCGAGCCTCGGCTGGGTCAGTTAGTGTTTCTGTGTGGAGTTTCGCGTTCGCGTGGGTTTCCTCCGGGTGCTCCGGTTTCCCCCACAGTTCAAGGACATGTGCTACAGGTAAATTAGCTAAGCTAAATTGTCCATAGTGTATGAGTGTGTATGGGTGTTTCCCTGGGATGGGTTGTGGCTGGAAGGGCATTTGCTGTGTAAAACATGTGCTGGATAAGTTGGCGGTTCATTCCGCTGTGGCGACCACGGATTAATAACGTTGCAATAAATCTGTTTTATTATGAGTATAATTATTATTTATTAAATGATTCCAATAAGATTATTTCAGACAACTTATGTAAAATTATTATAATATTGTAATATTATTGTACAATAATAACACTGAATGATAATGAAATAGCATAATAATAATAATAATAACAACAATAGTAATAATAATAATAACAATAATAAAATAATGAAGCACTAATATAACATAATATTCATTCATTTTCTTGTCGGCTTAGTCCCTTTATTAATCCTAGGTCGCCACAGCGACATGACCTTCCAGCCACAACCCATCTCTGGGAAACATCCACACACACATTCACATACACTATGGACAATTTAGCCTATCCAATTCACCTGTACCACATGTCTTTGGACTGGGAGAAACCCACGCGAAAGCAGGGAGAACATGCAAACTTCACACAGAAACATCAACTGAGCCGAGGTTTGAACCAGCGACCCAGTGACCTTCTTGCTGTGAGGCGACAGCACTATCTACTGCGCCACTGCCTCGCCATAACATAATATCATATAACATAATATAATATAACGTAACATAACAAAATAATATGTAATATAATATGATATAATATAATTCATTCATTTTCTTTTCGGCTTAGTCCCAGGGGTCGCCACAGCAGAATGAACCGCCAGCTTATCCAGCATATGTTTTACACAGTGGATCCTCTTCTAGCTGCAACCCATCACTGGGAAACACCCATACACTCTCATTCACACGAATACACTACAGACAATTTAGCTTACCCAATTCACCTATAGCGCATGTCTTTGGACTTGTGAGGGAAACCGGAGCACGCGGATAAAAATCCGCAAGGAGAACATGCAAACTCCATGCAGAAATGCCAACTGACCCAGTCGAGGCTCGAACTTACGCCCTTCTTGCTGTAAGGCGACATCGCTACCCACTGCCGCTACCTATATATAATAATATAATATAATATAATATAATATAATATAATATAATATAATATAATATAATATAATAGCCAAGTACTACTAACTGTTATTCTGTTAATCAAGATCAAAGGATCATATTTAATAATTGGCTTCTTACTTTTTTAATACATCCTTTCAACCATTCTCAGAAAAGCTTGAATGAAGATGCTATGAACTCTTTATGTGCCATCTGCTGCCTTTCAAGGATACTAGTGAATAACTCCAAACTATCATTGCACTCATTTCCAGAGCGCTGCTTGAATTGATATTAATAACTATGTATGGAGAGACACCCTGAATAAAATGATTTTCCATGTCCATTAATCTGAAGCTGAGCTGAGGCTGTTAATGTGTCTCGGCTCTCCTACTGTGTGCCCAATCTCCACTTTATGAGACCAAATGTCACACCTGAGGGAGCGCCAGCACATCAGCTCATTAAATGAGGCAAAATATTTGACAAATAATTCCACATCAGCATACCGATGGACTCAAAGCTAAACACACACACTAAAATACTTCAAAATTAACATTTAGAATTAATGCGTTTTTTAAAAAAGAAAGTAGGTATCAACTCTTGCTCTAAACAAAAACCGCTTGACTCAATTTGTGTATCGCAGGGCAAATATATGTGTGTGTATATATATATATATATATATATATATATATATATATATATATATATATATATATATATATATATATATATGTTTTTTTTTTGTTTTTTTTTTAATGATGTATTCAGACATTTGCTGAGCTGCTGTGCAGATGAAACATTTATTCTCAGAGTAAACACAAGGGTCTGCAGTTAATATAACTAATTTAGTTCATACTTTTAATATGATTTTCAAAAGAGGGAGAAAATATTTAGAGACAATAAGATTTTTTGTATTAAATTATTTTATTTATTACAATTTTTATTTAGATTTTATATATATATACACACACACACACACACACACACACACACACACACAGTTCCGTCTGGTTCTTGAATCTGATTGGTTGAAAACTGTGCAATTCTCTGCCAGTAACAGCACTCATACTGCCTCTTCACCCTTCACCCTTGTCTATTACTCCACCCATGTACAGCAACAAGCAGAGGACAAATATTGCTACGGTTGGGCTACATAATATATTTTTAAGGCTAAGAATAGTGCCTATTTAAAATATTTATTATTGTAATCAGGGGCTACTTTAGGATTTTCATTTTAGGGGGGCTCAGCTCCTAATGAGAAAAAAATTGTTATATATATATATATATATATATATATATATATAATTATTATATATATTAAATAAGTAATCATTTATAGCAATACACTTAAAATTTTTTAAGTAATATGGGTTGCATATTAAACTATAAACTAGCAGTATTCTACTGTATTGTATAGACGTGCATAGTCATTTGAGTTCTGAATGAGCCAAATAGGCTCAACACTACAGTTTACTTCAGTAAAAGCCACTTCACAGGTTGAAGTACAATTTTTGTTTCCATGTATTTAATAAACAAACGGCCACTTTTCAAATTAAATAGCTTACATATAAATATATATATTTTTTAACTAATTCACATATTTCACGTACTGATTCATAATATTAAAATGGGTAATATTTTTAATACAAGACAACACACAATGTTTTTATCTCTGTCGGTGACTCTGACAGTTAAAATGAGTACATTCACTAAGTGGTTCTGTCACTGTGTTTAATCCTTTCTGTCCATGACTGTGGTATAGATAATGCCACATGCACTGCAATGTGCTTTATAATGGTAGTTTGTTTTAAAATAAAAATAGTCAAATGTTTTTTAAGAGTTCCATTTTCGCTGGAAGAAACAGCTTTGATTAGGTGTGCACTGAGGAAACAGTAAAACCCGATATGACATTGGGATACAAGTGATACAAGTGTGTCCATAGCAAAGAACTGCAAATAAGCAGATATTATAACAATTTATTGATAAACACACACCTTGTTCTCTCGCTCTGCACAGCTGCTTAGCAGATCAAATGAAAATCGAAAGTCAGGGAGGAACCGAATTCTGCCGCCGTCTTCAAATTTAAAGGGGACAGAGACGATAATTTGGTTTATAGTTTGAGCTAATCGGAAAATTTTAGAGGGGCTGAATAGAAATATAGTGGGACTACAGCCCCCCAAAATAGGCCTAGCAATGCCCATGATTGTAATACTGTAGGGCGATATAGATGGATGGCATTTCATGTCACGTTCAGCCTTATAATCTTTAAATGTCAGCAAAATCAACTGTATTGTCATCACTTTGGACATTATGCTAAAAAAATCATTCAAACACTAGCTCTAAAGTGACGTTGGTGAATTAGTAACAGTTTCTGCTGTTTAGCTGCAGATGTGAATGAATGGTGGAAAAAAAGTAGTTTCTCTTACAAATTTTTTTTTGAGACTTTCCGTGTTTGATTTTCTTTTGCCGTCAAACTGTTACCGTAAAATGTTGTTTAAATGCAATATCACACGAGTAGCAGTGTGAGAAAGTTGTATATCAGAACTGGTGGGACACTATTTCATTTTTTAATGTCAGATTTAATTTTTTTAGATTAAATGTATCAAAAAATTTAAAGGGTAACGAAACACCAAAACACATTTTTTGAGCTGTTGACAGTCGTATATGTGTCCCACACTGCTAAAAACACTATTAGGACACCTATATTTCACTAAAAAGTGTAAATTGGTTGTTTTTGCATTATTTTAAGCAAATTCGTACTTCCGATTTGAATTGTTCTTCCAATTTTTGAAGCTGCGTCACGGCTATGAGATAATAGCGTGTATTCCAGCGTGCAGACTGGGCGTCTGTGCCAGAGTGAGTCTTATTACGTCTTACAGTGTGATGCATTAATGGATGAGTAAGGCTTGGTTCAAACCAATCAGCGCGCTCTATTGTGCAACTTCATTAATATTCATTACTGTCATAGTGTTTAGACGACAGAGACGTCTATGTTGACAATGCTGTGTTGGCAAAACAAGCGTGAAGTGTTGCTTTTATAGTTTGACGCAGCTCTAGTTGCTGTTAATTGTCCTGTCTCTACAGATTAGGTAAGTGAGCGACCAGTGCTCTTTGTTTATTCAGTTTGTTCGTATCGAACTAAGTTAACTATTGCACAGAGTGTAAACATGTTAGCACTACAACCAAACTTTAACCTCGTGTAGGATTTTCACCACATTTTGTGACCGGAATAACACACACGGCTTTCTGACGCTACGTTACCTGCCGAGTGCATCTAAGTTTCCGGGAAATGCAGAGGGTTTTTATGTCTCATTCGCCGTGCGGTATCAAACATTGCATGAAAAATACACGCTTAGAGCAGCTCCTCGAATCAAATATCTCGTTTGTCGCGAGGGGCATGAATGAATTCCCTGAATGAAAGAGACAAACTGCAGTTAAAGTCCACCATTTAATAATTTGGCAAATAATTCGACTACAGATGTCCATGTAAACACAGTCACTTTGTCCCCTGTGTGTGTATGTGTGTGTGTGTGTGTGTGTGTGTGTGTGTGTGTGTGTGTGTGTGTGTGTGTTTTGACTCTGAAAGTCAGCGCGCCCAAATAGACACTCCCAAACCATGCCTCTTTACTTCCTCCGACACTCCCCCCTAAACAAAGCTGGACACGCCCACTTTTCTGACTTTTTTTTTGTTTTGCTTTTTAGGATTCCACAGATCAGTTCGTTCAATAAATGTCACTATAACTATTATTTTTAGGGAATGTTGCCAAAAACACATACCAGGTAACATAATGTGATTTTTTTTATAATTGAAAACTTTTCTATTCAAATTGATTAAATTTAAAAACATATTCAAAAAGAAAACAGTTATTTTAAATTCTACAAATAATTAAAATAATAATACAAAGTAATCAAATAAATGCAGCACTGATGTGCAGATTTTTTTATCCAATTTTTTTAAATCATCCAAAACTCCAAACTTTTTTCTTTTTTTTAACACATTGAGAAGCTTCTTTCCCCTATATTTGTGTGAGCGCATTTTAAAAGTGTAAAAGATTGATAAACACTGAAAACTATCCTTGAGGAGCAATCTCTGATCTTATAGACCATCCTCTGCGAAGAAAACACAAGCATACCTTGAGAAGGCATCATCGAGGCCATCTTCTGCATCCTGAATAAAAGACAACACAAGGATTAGCATATTAGCAAAAACACAGTCACCTTCAGAATCAGAGTAACCTGATGTCACTGAACAACATGATGACCAGGTTTAATCTGCGGTCTCTCCTGTGATAGTCATTATCTGACACCAGCAGCCCGAAGATCCTAATTGGGTTTCAGAACCTGCCTGAACGGTGAATGAAATTCAATCACGGAGGAAAAGTAATTAACAAAAGCACAGATGAGCAGGGTGTGCAGACAGAGAGCCCGACGGATCCAATAATTCATAACAGAGACCTTGACAACTCATATAGTGAAATGAGCAGCACTCCACCTAGTGGTTGTACGTTTAATGTGTGAATACGATATTAAAGTACAGTTTGCCACTTAGCGGTGGTTATATGTTATGTCAACGACACATGCCCTGCTGACTGATAATACAATGTCAATACAGTTGAGTAGAGAAATTACTGAGTGAGCAATGCTTGTGTGGTATCAATACAATGGAGCTTTACTGTGGAGCAGATTTTTAGTACAGTAGTGATGCTCTCTGATTAATGCTGATTAATGTCAGACAAACTAGATGCAGTGCATATAGAAATTGAATTTCTGGAAAATATGCAAATTACATATATGACATACAAGTTAATATTTGGATTTTACATATATAAATTATGTCATATATATATATATATATATATATATATATATATATATATATATATATATTCATTCATCTTCTTTTCGGCTTAGTCCCTTTATTAATCCGGGGTGGCCACAGCGGAATGAACCGCCAACTTATCAGCACGTTTTACACAGCGGATGACCTTGAAGCTGAAACCCATCCACAATCATTCACACACATACACTATGGACAATTTAGCCTACCCAATTCACCTGTACCGCATGTCTTTGGACTGTGGGAGAAACCGGAGCACCTGGAGGAAACCCCACACAGAAATGCCAAATGCCAACTGACCCAGCCGAGGGTCGAACCAGTGACCTTCTACTGTACTAGGCCACTGCATCGCATATACATATATATATATATATATATATATATATATATATATATATATATATATATTTGTGTGTGTGTGTGTGTGTGTGTGTGTGTTTGAAATCCAGATATGAACTTGTATGTCGTATATAATTTGCACATTTTGCCATATCAGGTCTCTATACTGGACATTCAACACTATTTTTTTCACATATTTTTAAAATAATTTTATAAACATTCCAGAAAAAAAAAACATCTGAAAGATATTAAATGTCGAATCAGTTTTGTTCTGAAATAAGCACAACTAACAATAAACAAAGTATAGAGATTCAATTCATTTTCTCATTTCATTTTTATTTTTTAGCAAATGTTAGTTGCTGTTTTATAACATGGTTATTTACCCATTCACATCTTGTCAATAAACGTTAAACTTATCATTTAGTTAGTCAAACTTAATGTTAGTCTAAAACAAAAAAAGAAATGACAAAAAAGTAAATAAGAATAAAACCATGCTTGCCCATGCTTGCTTGCCTTTTAAGTTGCATACGCACACATTTAGGATTTAGTATGAAACATATTTATCTTATATTGGTGGCTTGGGAAGTCTTACACCATACAGTATGTTAAATCTCAAGTTAAAAATCTAGGAGTTATCTTTGATTCTGAGCTTTGTCTAGAACAACAAACTAGCTCAGTCCTTAAGAATGGTTAGCTGAGGAACATCTCCAGACTTAAATCTATACTTTTCTTTCAAGATCTGGAAAAAGTCATACATGATCTTATGATATCTCGCCTAGACTATTGCAATTCCCTATATATTGATCTCCCTCAAACTTCATTGTCACAATAGAAGATGGTTCAAAATGCGGCAGCTAGACTTTTAACAGGCAGCAAAAAACATGCTCATATTTCACTAGTTTCATTCACTACAGAATGAATTCAGTTCAAAATTTTAATTAATGTTTTTAAAGCACTGAATGGGCAAGAACCTTCTTATATTTCTGATCTTATTCATTTACATTCAACTCCTTGTTCCCTTAGGTCTTCAAATAAAGAACTACAAATTCCCCCAATACTTAAACTGAAAGGAGATTTTGCAGTCGCTGCTCCACGTTTGTTGAACCAGCTGCCACCAGACATTATGAGTGCTTCTTCTCTCTCTATTGTTAAGTCCAGACCATTGCCTTCTAAGGTTTTTTATCTTTATTGTGCAATGTTGCTGTCATACTATAATTCGTATTAATACTTTTATTGTTATTTGACTGTTAAAATGTGTGATATGGTTTTGTTCAGCACTTTGGTCAGTGCCGAACTGAAGTTAAATGCGCTTTATAAATAAACTTTACTAACTAATTGTAATCTACACAAATAATTATGTTGTTTTGACCCAAATTGGGAAAAAATAACATAAGGCCTATAAATCTCAATGCATGTGCATTTTCTGCTCTGATATTGATATTATAGACTAAACAAAACAGCATACTATATTATAAAATACAGTGTAAAACAGTGTGCTTCCCCTACAATCCCTAAAAATCTGTCACTCATATTAGTTCATGGCAGCCCCACAAATTTCTCCATTTAAATTGTGTTTGGCACTAAACAAAACTCTGATTCAAGAAATCAGCAGATATGTCTGTTATCTGTGAGGAAACTTCATTTGGATAACTTAAAAGGGAATTTTCTCAATATTTAAATTTTTTTGAACGCCCAGATTTCAGATTTTTGACCATATACTGTCCTATATGAAAAATTACAAATCAGTGAAAAACAATGCATAAGTAAATGATGTATACATCTCATATAAAACAAATTGACACTTATGAATGATTGCTTTTGTGGTACAGGGTCAAAGTTGAATTGTTTGCCAAGCATCTTTTGCCAATCAAATGATAGAAAAAACAAAAACAAATAAATAAATAAATTAAAAATTGAAAACAGCAATAAGAAATATTTCTTGATCAATAGATCGGCATAATACAATGACTTCTGAATGATTATGATACTATGAACGCTCACATAATAATTCTGAAAAAGCAATTTTGGCATCAAAGAATTAGGTTAATTTTTAAATGTATTCAAATTTATGTATTCAAAGTTATTGTAAACAGCAATTACATTTAGCAAAAAAAAAAACAAAAACATGTTTACTTTTTATTTAATAAAATAAATACAACCATTTAAATTAGCATTAGAATTAATTTATTGATTTTTTTAATACTACCAACCCCAAAACTTTTAAATGGCAGTACATGATAAGAAGTATAATGACATAATGGTATACCCAGGAGTCATGTTTGATTGGCCGTCTCCTGTTGCTACTGCGTGGAGATGGAGAAAGGAAGGAGGGGAAGAAGGGCTTCCTCGGTTTGTGCTCCATCAGAGCCTGAGCCTTCTCCTCTTCTGACACAAGAACAAAAATAAAAAGCCCTTTCATTTCACAAAGTTACAGATATCAGGCAAAAATTTGCCTTTTAACAAATAAATGTACCTGTGACACTCTTTGGCTCTGATTCAGGCTGAGATTCAGGATCTGAAAAGGAGAAGCATGTGCGACCTTTCTTGCCTTTGTCTGCAATGGAATAAAAAGGAGGATATATTTGTATTCTGCTTCTAAAAACATGAGCTACTTATATATAAATAAATGTGGCTCACCTTCCTGTGCGATCTCCCACAGATCCAGAGCTATTTTAAATGCTTGTGCAACTGTCAGAGTCACAGCTTGAGCCTGTGGAGGACACAAAAACTCACCAGATCAAAAGGCAGGAGTAATATTTTGATGAACCACTCCTTGTCCACTAGATGGCGCTAGGTACAAGCTATACAGTACCCTCCAGGGACAGTGACACCATTGGTGAATATGAGACAAGAACACTGAAGAAAGTGTCTTTTTATTGTTTAACCATACTATCTTTTGCGTAACATATCAATAAAAAAATATATACAAATAAAAATGACTGTGTATGCTCGAGTTAGATACTTTTGGAGGATGAGAGTAAAGACTTTCTTCTTAAAACCTTCCGATACAATCTTTGGTAATGTAACCTGTAAAGCCTACTCGAGGTGAAGGCAGATAGTAATTATTTAGATTTCCTGACTCCACCCACAGAGCAAAAACTCTCTGGCCCAGCTCTGGCCCACACAATCAGCTTTTGCTTGGCCCACATGCCGCAGTGAATTATGGTACATGATTGGACCAATTCTGGCTTCAATACAAGAGCCAACCATGAACCATATCTGGGCCAAGTTTCAAGCAATTTAATAATCCATTACCAAGTTAATTAACAGCCAAGTTAATAAGCCAGATATGTTGGTGTGTCATCACTGCAATGAATTTGATAAACCCATGAAACATTTTGCTTTAAGGCCACACTTTTTCTCAAAGTGACTAGATTGGTAGAATTTTTTCTTTACTAAAAACTAATTAAAATGTATTTTAAAAGTGGGTCAAGGTAGGCCAAACTTATGTAGGCCACATATATATTTTTTTACATCTGGGCCAAACACTACATTTGATATCTGGCCCAAGTCTCATGTGCCAGCTTAAAGAAGTGGCCACCTCTGTGAAACCTGGGCCATGTTTGGATCACAAGCTGTATGCCAGTGCCAGATGAATGTCTGCGGGGCCAGCTTTATGCCAAATCTGGGCCAGAATTCTTTGCTACCTGGGCACTTTCACGGCTATGATTCTTGGAGATTTAGCTATTCGTAACCTTGTTTGGAACAAAATAGACACAAGTCCTCTATCAGGCTGTTTTAAGTTAACTGGAATATTTCAATTATTGTCATAATGGCAGAAACACAGTTGAAAATGTTGTATACTAGCCACTTCCATTATTATACAGTTCAAAAATCTTTTCACGGCTCTCTTTTTACCCATTGTCATGAATGGGCGAATGTTTAAGACACTGCACCACTTGGGAATGTTTAGCCTTTGTGTTTTTTCACATTTACAGCCTTCTGAAACAGGAAGTCACGGTTGAACAGTTTTTTCATAGTCCTGCGTTTGTACCAAAAAAGAGTGAAATATCAGTCTTTTTTTTTTTAACATGCTTTAAAAATGTTTCGCTCTGAACAAATATTTAGGGGGTGCTAACTGTCATAGATTGTACCAAGATATTGTGTTTGCAACCTGTCCGTCCTCAATGAGAGCATATTTTTTCTTAATTTTTTACAATATATTTACACATGCTTCTTTGTTTATATTTACCAAGGGTGTCTTTATTAATGGAGAGCACTGTAGACTTACACAAAATACTGTTTGCTTATTAGCTGATCGCTACTCTAATAAAATAGTTGGGTTAAAAATACCCAATATAAACATATAACCCAACGATAGGTTATTACAACTATGGGTTATTTTAAACCAATGCATTGGGTTATAATTGCTAACCCAGTGCACTGGGTTATTTTTGATTAAATGTTTTTTTTTTCCATTCTGGTATTAATATTGCTACTATTACTAGTACTACTATTAATTTTATAATTATGGCGGCGTAAATAAATAACATACAGTTTTCAAAAATACAAAAAATTCCATTTTATTTTAAGTTCCAGACACTTTTGTTAAAATAAACTAAAAATCACAAACAATGAAGTAACAGAACAAAGTAGACAGTTATTAACTGTGCAAGCAGAAAATCATGTGTTGATGGAGCAGAATATGGAGCTCTGTGTGCTGTAAAGACTGTCCAGCAGCTGCATCAGGCTTCACTCAGTGTCCACAATGTACAATAAATTTTAACCACATCTAAACGCTTCTAAAAGATAGTCCTGGATGGTGAAATGGATATAAAAACCACGACATGGAGGTATTTTGTTAAAAAATGACTACAAAATTATTGCGTTTTAGCTTAAATAAACTTTATATCTCAAAAACGACATGATGCACACGTATTAATACAGCTGTTTTGTGTCAGTTAAATCAGTTGACTGATGAAATTCCAATTTTTAACCCAACTGGTTGAGTTATTAAATAAATAACCAAATAAAGGTTAAAAATAACCCAACAAAGCACCAAATATTTAAATCAACTGGTTGAGTTATTAATAAATATTCTAACAAAGATTAAAAAATAACCCAACAAAGCACGTTGGTTGTTTAACTCAACCATTTGGTTAAAAAAAATAACTCATCGTTTTTTAGAGTGTAAACATAACATCACATCGATGACAGTGATAAAAGATGATGATGTGCGTCTGCAGACACTTACTATTTTCTTTTTTTGGCACAGGAAGGCATGGCACTCCAGAGTTTCATTGAACTGGCTTTGGGAGACGTAGGCGAAGACCTTATCCTGAGTTTTATCTGTTGTGCAGTAAGATATTCTGCAGAGATGAGAAATATAAGCTTTTCACTGTGGGTGGACTGTTCAGCTCATTTGATCAAATAACACTTACTGGACTGAACAATGTACTGGCAGGGAATTGGTTTTGATGACTAGGCCTTTCAATAACGTTGGATTCACAGAGAAATCATATTCTGAACAAGCTGCTTGAAGTTCAGATATAGAAAAAATTGTACCCTTCTGTAACATGTTGAGCAATTGCTAACTTTTAACTGTTGTAATAACTGCATTTAGACTCTTAAAGTGGCATATTTCTCTGCAGACCAACCAAGAAAATTCCTGTAAAGAATAGGCACAGCACGGGTTTTAAAACTTTCTTCAGAGAAAACTTCTGATAAGCCTGATGATGATAATGTCAGTTTATCTATTGACATTCAGATTCATTAAATTACACTAATAATATGGTTGTATAACAACAACAAATAGAAATATGTTGTATAAAACGCATCGTCTTTTTTATTAATATATATTTTTCCATTTAGTATTTCCCCCCTCTATCAATGCTGAATTAATAATGACTGTTGAGTCGACCTTGTTTAATGTATTATTTTACTATTGTTTAGTTATTTTGAGTCATGAAACTGTAGCATTCAAAAGAAACTCCAGATGCACCTGATCACTGTTACCCTGATGAAGGCAGTTCTTTGCTGAAACGTGTAGGTTTTAAATATGTTTTCCACATTTTTCAAGTACCTTGGACTGATTTTTGCTGTTTATTCTGATGAATTCCTTACCCAAAGGGCACTGACACACTTACACATTATTTAAGCTACTCGTAAGCACTTTTTGTTTGATTTTGAATCATCAATACTATTTTTTAAATAATATTGCAGGCCCACCATGTAAGAAATTCCTCATAATTTCTAATTTACATATTAAAGAGACACAATCTACTCCCATATTATTTGTTTTTCCAACTATGGATGTCAATGATTACATAAGGTTTTTAGTTTTTCTCAAAATAACTTCTTTTGTGTTTAAGCAAATAAAGAAACTCTTAAAGGTTTGGACCAACTTGAGGATGACTAAATAGTGACAAAGTTTTAATTTTGGGTGAAATATTACATTAAGTATAAAACAGCTTAAAAGTTAGTATTCTGATTTGTAAATGTCACTGGTTATATGGGTAAACATTTAGGTATTTCTTTAAGTATTTAATCTAAAAGAACACATACTGTACACTACCTGACAAAAGTCTTGTCACCTATCCAAGTTTTAGGAACAACAAATAATAACTTGACTTCTGGTTGATCATTTGGTATCAGAAGAGGCTTATATAAAAGGCAAAAGCCTCTAGATTATGCTTATTCTACCAAAATAAAACATGATCATGCCTTGGTTTTTAATTATTTAATTAGGTCAGTAAGGTCTGATTTTGCATAGACAAAAATCTTGTCACTTAACAGAAATAATGTACAGTATAGATTATAAAGTCATGGTGCAGTGGAAAAAGAATTAACCCTCTACTGCACGGCCATATGGTAACATGATACTCATGTTCATTTCCCTGCCACTGTTTCTTTAAGACCAACATATTATTATTATTTTTTTTTTGTTGGAAAGAGAAGACCTTAGAGTAAACAATGATGAACTTTGGTTAAGTCACATGACATCCAGTGTTTTTCTGTAGTGCAATTTCTGACAGACTGGTGTTTATTGTGAGTAGTTGCTAAATGCAAATGTAAACGTCAATAAAAACAAAGGATTAAATTATGTCAGATCCACAAAAAAAAAAAAAAAAAACAGTAATTTATGAAGACATATTCACAACTCAAAGTTTTTTTTAAATCAAATTAGTTTTTTGCAAATGGATCAAATGTATGTGTTACCAAATGGCAACACGGTGCAATAGTGGAACATGCAATACTGCAATGGGTTAGCTAGCTAGCAAGGTCAGCTGTGAACGTTTCAGTTGTAACAATAACAACATGAATGCTTGAAATGTAATGCTGATTAGTCATGTGTTATGGCATTTGCATTATGGATAAAATCTAGCGTAGAAGTCCGCTTCCGTTCGTTTTAAAGGCCTGGCGCCACCAGATTAACCAATAGAAAACTGAAAAGGGAAAAAGACAAACAAGATCAATTGAAAGTAATTATTAAGGGCAGGAGTAAACGCCACACGCAACAATGGCAATACTACTTTTCAATAGATATCAATACAGGGAAAAGTGTATTAGCGAACACCAACATGTTCTATGGTAGTTTAAAGAAGAAAAGAACAGAACTGACTCTTCCTGCAGATGAAAGTGAGGATGAGATGGGTTTTAGTGACCATGAGAATGATGCAGACTGGACATTTGACAGAGACAGTTCAGGTAAGTTTGCTCAGAGGCAGATAAGACAAGCGTAGTAGAGTATATAGTATAGTATATATATAAAAACATTGTTAGCTAGTAGCTACATTATTCTGATGCATTTGCATATACTAGACTTGCTATTTATTTGTTATAATATTTACTGGAGAAAATATTTATATTTACTGTATGTTGTATATATGATAATACAATATTATGACTGTTTTCAATAATATTCAGCAAAAAAGAATGCAAGGAATGAAAGCTTTTGGACTATGAGTTGTGGTAAGGTATAAGGGGTCATTTATAAGTTCTGTGTTAAAGCTCATAATGCTGCAACACCAATTAAATAATTTTAAACAAACAAAAAAATATTCATTATAAGAAAAGTAATAAATTTAAAATTTATAAGTTTGATCCACTGTTGGACGATGTTGCCATATGGCAACATTTCATAAAGTACCTTAAAAAAAAATTTTCCTATTTTTTTTACAGCACTTTAAGTTAAGCCATTTTAAAAAGAAAAACTGTCAAATATATATATATATATATATATATATATATATATATATATATATATATATATATATATATATATATATATATATATATTATTATTATTTTTTTTTTAACAATGCGTGCGGTACGGGGTAATATTGTGTATGACTCCCATGCATGCAATTTGACCTTCTTTGCTTTCAGGAACTTTGATGTAGATGCTGAAGTATGGAGAAGGAGCACTATTCTGCTGAAGAATATACCCTCTCCTGTGGTTTGTAATGGGCAGAACAAATGTCTTTATACCTCAGACTGTTGATTTTGCCCTCCACTCTGCAGATCTCTTACACGCCCCCATACTGAATGTAATCCTAAACCATGATTTTTCCTTCACCAAACTTGACTGATTTCTATGAGAATCTTGAGTTTATGCGGGTTCCAATAGGTCTTCTGCAGTATTTGTGATGACTGGGATGCAGTTCAACAGATGATTCATCAGAAAAATCTACCTTCTGTCACTTTTCCAAATGATCAACTAGAAGTCAAGTTATTATTTGTTACTTTTACAACTGGGATTGACGACAAGACTTTTGTCAGGTAGTGTTCAATTATTAAGATAAAGCCTTCCCTGAAAAAAAATTCTAATAGATACTTTAGACAGTTATGAACTAAACAGAAAATTCATAAATGCTATTTGTTGATCCTTTTTCTTTTAAGATTACTGAGATCCTCAGATATAAAATCATAAAAACACAAAATATACAATAAATAATAACCATAAGAACCATCGTGCGGTAGGCCTAGAGTTTAGATTTTGATTATCATTTTATGAACAGAAATTTAGAGCAGCAAAACCGTAAGAGTTTGTGTATGTGAAATAATGAGATCCATTAAACAAAGACTGGGAGGAGACGGATCAGATCTCACTTCGTCTACAATTGTTAGTGCTCTGCTTCTGATGCACGACCTAAATAGAAATGCCCAAGACTCTCTATTCCCTTTCTCCCTCCTCTTTTTTTCTCTGTGAACGCAGGGGGTGTGAAGAATTATCATTTATTGCAGTCAGTTCTGCACTGCACAGCTTCATTATTGAAGAGTGAGAAGCTGAGAGGGAAGGGAACTATAAATGCCTCAGTGTAGCTTGTTTGTTGCTCCTTCTGAACAGGATGGAGGATGTTTTAAACAATGCCATTTGTAACTCAAAGGATCTCCATGAAATTAAATGCTCTGCAACTCATTTACATTCTATATGACTTGATTCACTGAGCAGCATTATATGAATACTAATATACAGTATATACAGGCCCGTAGCCAGCCTTTTATTCTCAAAAAGTGATTTTTTAAAAATTAAAAAAAATTTTTGTTGCAGTTATTCAACTCATTTTCTATTTAATTATGAGGTTTAACCATACTCTATTTAGCAACATTTTAAGTAATATTTTTAGCTGCATTAGCTTGTCGGATGGTCAATTTTTGGTGTACCAAAAACATTTTTTAAAGATTTAAAAAAGGAAATATGAAAAAAAAACAATATATATATATATTTAAATATTACATCATATACCATTAGAAAAAAATGTAGCATGTTGTCATTTATTAGAAAAATAACAAACTGGCCTTACTTATGGAGAAAATTACAAAGCACTGCCGTTTTTGGATTTTTTGGATTTTTCTAAGATAATTAGTCTTACCGAAATGTGAATATTCCATACAAGCTGAAGCGTCAATTATTGTCAAGTGACTCGCGGTGTGCTCGCTGGATTCATTGGCGCGAGTGCGTCACACAACTTGTGCGCGCAAGCCGCGCACCTCCATTGGAAACAACAAAGTTGTGCAAATTCTAGAAATACCCGATATGTGAACGATCGCTGAAAGGCCGCCGTCATTTGCGATCTCTATCAGTTGATCTTCTTGCAGAGCCATGGTGAATTCACCTGATATGTTGACAAATGGGTTGCGGATTCATTCCTTGGCAGTTTGTGGGTCATTCACTGGGCCTTTCCCCTTAGCAAAGAAACTTTATGAAGACGTCTGTTTCATACTTATTTTGCTAGATTGTGGGGCAAAAGTGACTGAGATGTAAGAGAGAATACGGTCATTTTTCTAAATAAAAGATCGTTCAGACTCATATAAAATGGAAATAATTATATAATAATCATATAATAATAAATAATAATTTATTGTG